CCTGCTGAGTGATGTCTGCATGGCACCACCCTTTACTCCAAGAACCTGAGGCAGAGATTCCATTTTCCCTAATATTAGACATTTAGGCTACTTTTGTAATCAATGTAGAGAAATGGACCTGCCTGGAGTGAGAATCATCTGACCTATTTTAAACACCAGACTTAAAACAGAAAAATTTGACATAGAAGTTTTGGGGTTTTTTTCAACAGACTCTGTAGCAAGCCTAGACAAAATGCAGACAAAATACCTACATTTGGTGACACAAATTTGAAGACAATTGATAAAGTTAATAGATGCTAGATTAAGACTGAACTGGAGTGAAGAATAATTAAAATCCAGGTTTAAGGGTCCAAATTTCAGCTACAACCCATTAACCACAGCCAATTTCTTTACAGCTTCTGCATTCCAGATATTCCAGCTGGAAGAAGAATGAAAAGATTTTAATGGCAGAAAAAAGAGAAGTGTTAGTTCCAGCATCTATGTATCTGAGTAATAACGAGAAGAAAATAATACACAGTCTATCCAAAAAAGTAATTAAAAATAAACAACCACAAAACTATTTAAATATGAGATATTTTTGACATGAGTCTCTACTGCTTGCCAGCCATCTTCCTTAAGCACGCAGCTCAGAGGGAGCTGCAATTCATCACTAATTTTATAAATACTTAATTTGTGATAAGCTTTGACAAATCTCATCTTAATGTAAAGCATTATTGCCATTCTTATCCCACAATAAACCTTTGTTCCAGAGTTGCTTACAAGTCTGCTTTAATAGCATTTAAAGAAAATGAAATGTCTGTATTGCACAGAGACCAAAACTTATTTTCTACAGCCAATGAAGAAAAAAATCTGAAATCTTCATGTTGTTGTATGTATAAACATGCACTCACTTACATAGGCTCACACACATGAGTAAAAAAGGCCATGAATGATTTAAAATTAAGACATAGAACCTGAAATTCAGACTGGAGCTCTGTTCAGCAAAGGAGAAACAATGTGCTATGAGCAGTAGTAAAAGAAATGTTGTTGTATAAATTATGCATTACCAATGGATTGCAAATAACAAAGGTATAATAGTTCCTGGATATATTTAGAGGAGAAAGCAAAGTTATCCATTAACAAATTGCTTTTTATAATTATGTGTTCTTTAAAAATCTGGAGGTAGACTATATGAATGTTAATTAATACATAATGCAGTACTTTTCAGTCTGCTATCTATTTCCACAAACATTTCTCTCACATGCATAAGATAATTGAGGAAAACTTAATTAAAAATTATAACCATAAATACATTAATAAATGGAACAGAATTTACTAGTTCAATGGCAATAGATGTAATTCTGTCCATTTCTGTAGCACTTCCATCTTGAAGTGCTTTATGAACCAATTCTGGAATCCCTTCAGAATTTGGACCTCTATATGACTCAAAACATTAGTCCAGCACTACTACACATCCCTAGTTTTTAGCTGGAGGAGGGATAGAGTAATGGTCATCTTGGAGTAACAAACTGAGACACCTGACATGGATAATGTTGTTTAGTTTTGATTCATGATAAGAATGACGATTTCAGTGGACATTTGTTTCAGTTGAGTCATTCTTGACTAGAATTGGATTAGAGACAGAATAATGATAACTCAGGTGAAACAGAGGTACTTCTGCGGTGCTCCAGAAAGGAATAAAAAAACATACAGTGCTGTCCAATACATTAACTAGTCCAAGAGGAAACTGTTTTAAATCCCATTTCTCTTTGGGGTTCACGCACCTGAATCAGAGTTTCTCAAAGGTGTTACACTCTTCACAAGACATCCAACACAAAACACTGTCCTGGCCTTCAGCATTTCAATTTCTATTTCACAACAGCTTGCCTAGAGGAAACAGTTCTCAGTCTAGAAATGAATGATTCAGATTAACTTCTCTCTCAGGATCCAAGATGCTCCTATTTGAAATTCATAGCCATGCACTCTCTCACTTTGTACTTAACTTCTCTACAACCACCACAAGCAGTGCTGAGTAGTAGGTATCTGCAGTCTGTCTTCTTCATCCGTTAAAACCAGTGCAAATATTTAATTGAACCAGTCTAACATATAGACAGAGGAAACAGTAATGTCTGTGTACTTTAGGTTAGGATGCTTCTCTGAAAGAAAAAAATTATTAACAGTCATTGTATAAAATATAAACGCATTGCAAATTATTAGCACAGTCTTTCTGATGCTGTCCTGATTTAGCTTGTTTTCAGTCAAACGTTAATTTGTTTTCTGATATGAAATGCCTTAGCTTTTCTTGAATTCAGTTCTTGATTGGTTTTTCAATCCCCTGTCAGAAGAAAGGCAGATAATATTCTGTGGCATATCTCACAGAGTAGGTGCTTAATTGCCCAAAGCTCCTTGTGAGGACAAAAAGTTATTTTATCAGTTGATTCACCAGTCAAAGAGGGAATAATCTATGAAATTTGGCTTCAACTGAACCTATGACACTGCAGTGGGAGATTTGGAGAGCAATCTGTACCTTCAGTGTCTGATGCTTTTTTAGAACAACTTCTATCCCACTTGCCAGTTCAGAAAAATATGTTCCCATCTACAATATGTCCATCATGAGTTAACCCATACTATAAGAAAGAACACAGTACTCCAAAACATCGGCTGTCCTTTGCTGCTGCTGTAGAGAAGCTACAGCAGCAAGTTTTTTATTCCCTGAAGTACCTGAAAGCTTAGCAGTTATAAAAAGGTCAGCAGCAAACTCCTGAAAGGATTTTGTTTATTGCTGCCTAGATACCCTATGGGGACTTTATTTTGATAGGTCTGTAAGTAAATTAAATGGTCTATTTGCATATTGTTACAGAAGTGTAAACCTTTTATAGTGTTTAATAAAGATTTACACAATACCATAAACTTGATATATACCCCATGCTTGTATAATTGAGACATGCTAGACAAACTGCACTCATGGTATCCATTTCTTTCATTATTTATGATTTTGAGTAACACCATTAGTAGCGAACATATGTTGTTGTAAAACATTTGGTAATATTCTCCCCTCCCTCACACTCCTAGAGCTAAATCTCATTGAAATTCACTTATTCTATCACTCATGACATTTGTTGAGGCAAACACAGGGAGAGGGTAATATTCACCTGAGAAACCTGTAACCTGAAGAAATGTCCTGGACTTTTATTGCCTTTGTTAGGGTTTTATTATTTATCATGGCAGAAACATTGATTTCTGAAGAAGCAATTACAATAACAAAATTACATTACAGCAAGAGCTTACAATTACAGCTGCAAATTAACCATGTAAGTAGAAATATCAAAACTGGGGATAAGTGTAGACTGTTGTTCACTTTATGTTCAATTAATTTAGGATATATATCTCAATCCAGGACAATTAGATCATGAACATCCAGATACAGAAATGTCAAAACCAGATGATTATATGCCCATACATAGATTTATTATTTGTATCAGTGATAAACATAGTTCTCTTCTGGAAGAAGAGAGGAAAAAAAACACTGCAAATATAGATAACATCAGAAGAGAAAGACGTCCCATAAAACAAAACAAAACAAAACAAAACAAAAAATCATAACAGGAGAAAAATACTTCAATAGTACATCAATGGAAGTGACAATAAAAATTTAAAAAGAAAAAGAAAAAAAGCCCAAGCAACATTCAACCAAAAAAACCTATTTGAAATTTGAAATTATTGGCACGACCACTACCTCCACATATTAAGTTACTTCCTGCCAATCTATACTGATAGTGTAAGTGGGGTTGAAGTATGAAGGCTGCATGGAGGTAGACTTAATACAATGCTTGATGTCTAGGTTTACAGCTAAGCAGGCAGGGATTACAAAATTCTGAGCAGTCTTTCAACTGGTCATAATTTTTTTAGTCTTTGTGAACAAAGGGTCTCCTGACTTCATTGTGTTTGGTCCTCAAATCTCTAATATGGTGGTAATAACAAATTTCTTACAAATTGCTGAATGACGCTGAATTTATGGAGAGGTACTCAGAGTGCTTTGTGCTGTAGAGATGTCAAATAAACCAAGACTATGATTCAGACTCAAAATTACAGATTTAACTTTTCAAAATAATACTAGAATTTTGGTGTTAAATAAATTTCTTCACAAACATCTGCTTTATTTTTACAGAATTGAAGAAAATCTGTACTCCTACCTTCTGGTGATATATTTCTGTTATGTCTTGAAAAGTGCTTCATGCACCTAAGTGCAGCTGTGTGTGCTGTAAAATAAGGCAAAATGAGCTGCTGGTGTTTGCTGAGATATATAATGTTTGAGATTGAGACCTCCTACATTTCTGAGTCAAAAGAAAACCTCCTTTGAGTTTTGTTTTTATGAGATCTTTCTAAATACATAAGCTGTTTGTTTTTTGCAAATCCACAACTATGGATGTAAGCTACCTAAACAAAGTGTCTCTGATTAGAAACATAAAGAAATTTTAATCTCTTTGTATTTCTTAAGCATTCATTACTCTCTTATCAAGGCTGCATCTGAGTGATAAGAGAATTAATTTTATATTTCACAAAGTATATAAAGGCTTTTTTACAATCTTCTCTTTGAAGTTTTCGGAAACAAATTAAAATAAAATCCCTCCTTAGAAAAGAAAAAATGAAGAGGTCAGTATTGTTAATTTCCAAATTACTACTGTTATCACCTGCTGAACTACTGCTGTTTATGAAGATACCCTAACTACCCCAACTGTGGTTTCAATTACTTTGTACATTATAAATGTCAAGGGAAAGAAAAAGGGACATGCATTTTTTACAAATGACTCTCTCCTTACTAATGCCATTTTTTAATTCAGCATTTGAGAACCTTCATTGCACTTATGAAGTTCTCCAAAAGGGCTGTTTATGAGCTTTCCGGCTTCTTCTGCCTTCCTACTTTTACAATCCTCTATAAATGACATGCCATCTATATGTGTAGAAGTGAGAAGTGACTTGAATTAATTAACTGTTAATATTTAGGTGGTCAGTGACACCTGATGAAGGGAATATGGCCATATTTTATGGGAGTAAAGATTTCTTAAATGCCTGACTGTTTTTCAGGAGCTGAAGTGATGAAGCTACTGGTTGGCACCACACTTTTCATTCCTTTTGGAGAATGAAAACCTAAAAGAAATATAACATAGTATTGGTGGTGAATGATTCATAAGTGCTTGTTGGACACCATGCCTTCCTATTCTTTTATTTCTCTTTTTCATTTGCTGTTTCATTACAATCTTGTCTTTTTTTCCAGGAGTTTGGTTGGCACCCTTTCATGCCCTTGTTGTGAATGAGCACAGGAGATATGTTGAGATTCCTATGGCTAGTCTAGACTAATAGCAAACCTAAAAAAAAAAAAAACACATATAAGATATTTGTTTTATTTTTTTATTCCCAATAGAATTGTGATTACAAAACCCTCAAATATTAACTTGTCAAATCATTTCTTTAAAAACTCAATAAATTCTAACTCAATTCTGCATTTATATAAATTGCTTTAGTCAGGCAGGGAATTACCATGAATAAGGGTATGAATATGAATGAGCATCAAAATGGACAAATAATTCCTTTTTTAGTGAAAATGGATTTAGATATGAGGTTAAATTTGAAATAATGTAACCTTTTAAAAATCTATGTTCTTACTTTATTATTGCAATTTACAGCTGGCTAGAGTCCTGAAATTGCTGAAAAAACTAAGTTTCAGGTTCAATAAAAAATATGTCCTGTTTATAGTTATTACTAGTTTTAGCCTACGTATTACACAAAAAAAAAAAAAAATAGACTGAAAGATCAAATGAAAAATAAATTATCCAAAATGACTGGTTCAGCATGTTATTATTTACTCAGTAAATGCCTGCCTGAGTTTTGTTTTTTCCCCTTTATTCAACATTTCTTGAGCAATTGGCGGATTAGAAATACTTTTTCCTTACCTGAGCAAATCTATAAACTCCTGAAACAATTCTCCAGATGTCAAACTCTTTCCATGTTCACAACACTTTAAGTTGGCAACATTATGGTTTTCTGCCTGGTACAAAAGGTCATGAAGATGCACTAGTGAATAAGGTGGCAGAAGATCTTCATCTTACAAGGATCTGCACAGACATAAAAATGTCCAAGAATTGATGTTTTGATTTGAAAAGAGCTCTTAAAGATTAAGGAATTGTTTTTGAAACATCCTCCAACGAGTTATGTGAGAGGATTTAAAATAGATGCTTTTCATGGTGAAATTTTCAGCCTTTGACATACAACTTCTTTATAATTATAAAGGGATTAGGGAGATGGCTGTCCTTTAAAAAAATTGGAAAAAGGAAAAAAAGGTTTTACCAATTTTAGACTTGCAATCTCTCTTTAGAAGAATGTATTAACCTTGGAGATTCACCTGAAATCATAGTAAAACAAGACTCTAAGGCTACTGCATGCTTTTTTCCTCTAAGGAATGTTTGTTTCATGATCACTCAATCAGGAAAGATCTGTGCCACTTCCTGGTTTTTTAAGACCATAGCCATAACAATTTGATGAAATCTGTATGTTTTAAAACTATTTCTGAGAAGATAAAGAACATCCCATTTGTTCCAGTGTTTCTCCCTTTTCTGCTCTCATCTTTTACCTCTGCAGACCTTACTAGCTATCCATTGCTTCCCAAAACTCCAGCCCCAAATGCCCAAGCCTAGTTCTGTCCATCTCAACACATTCTTGTCTCCTCCATCCTCACCTTTCTGTCTCTCATGCCAAAAAGAAGTTTCCTCTCTTAAGCATCTACTGCCAGCAGTAGATTACTCAGAGTGTGGAAGAAACTTCTTGCCCCCTGACCATTCTGGCAGAATGAGACAGTGAAGGAGATCCAAGCCTCCTGCTTGCTGCCTCGGGACGCAGAATACAAAGTCCTGCTGACAGGTTGACACAAAGGAGCTGTGCAGGACTTGAGGGCACTTGGTGAGGGTGTCTCTGAACAGAGTAATAATCTTCAAGACTGATGTGGTCTCACTGAGTGTTTGTTAATTTCACATTTAAAGGTTTCTTCCAGTTGTACAATTTATACAGGAGAAAATTCCCCAGCAATACATGTCTATCAAATGATACTTTGGACACTACTATTCATGGTGAACAAAAGAGTATCCCAAAAATCTTAAAAGTATTTTCTCCTACCCAAATACAGTTCTACCTGTTCTAACAGCAACATTTTCAATCCTAAGTTCAACAGTTCAAAACAAAAAGGAGTGTTAGGATGAAAAATATATCTTAATATCCTGATTTTTTATAGCTCAACCTTTTATGATTTTTTTTTTAGTTTGAGGCCTGACCCCTTCCTTATATTTATAAAATCTAAAATAGTCACACAGTTCAGCAATATTGAAAATATCCTTGTGGCCCACTATTCAAAACAACCAAAAATATAAGAGTAAGCCTGTCAGCTTTAAAATATGTATTTTTATGTAGATACATATTTTATCATAGTTTTATATATAAAATATATATCTTTTATAAGCTTGATTTAGCTTCTGAATCACCCCAGCTGAATTTTATGTGAAATTTTCAGAAGAACAAAGCCTCCACTGAGACTCTATTACTTCACGACTTCAGCTGCATTGACAACACTTGGGAAGCAACACTGCCCTGAAAGTTCAGCTCTCATTAAACAAGCAAGAACTGAACATGCCTTTCTGAAGACAGGACTTGACCTTTGTCCTCCCAAAGATTTGACTCTCGCGTCAAATAAATTATAGAGCAGAAGCAATTTAAAGAAACACACTTATATAGAATATCAGTAATGATAAACTGACACCTTCAAAATAACTCCTGCTGTAAATTTCAGCTTCATTTATTTAGCTTGCCTGTGTTATTTTCTATTACTTTAGATTTATTTATATATACAGGTTTGTAGATTTTGCATGGATATTAGCTAATGAATTGCACAGTTCATTTTTAGCTTGTTTTATTTAGTTGAAAAAGTACCATTTGTCAAAGGAAAGCAACATTAAACAACAGCACAACAATGAAATGCTAACTCACTGAAAATGAGCATGTCTGCAGGTGAAAAAGAAAAAAATTATGTGAAGATCCCTACACAGAAATCCTTTAATATCCCTCACTGACTGCAGAAATAGCTCATCCTTCTTCAAAGATGGCCCTTTCTGCTCCTACACAGCTCTTTTTATTGCAAATGGAGAACAAGCTTAAATCTCTCACAAAGGGCAGAAGGCACAATAGGTCCTTGGCAAATAAGCTTTATTCCATGCAGTGGGAGAAGGAATGGAACAGGAACAACTTGACCTGGGAACAACAGATTTAGACAAAATATCACTGAAATCCTTTCATGGAAATCAGATTAAAATTTTTCTTGAGAGAATATTTTCTGCCTAACAGAATATGATAAGGGTTTTAACCCAGAGGGAGAATGTCATCAGCTGCTATCTGCTGTCATTTAGTGTGGGGACAACACCTGAAGGATCGAGGAGGTCTGAGACTGAGGGGGGAAGGTAGAGAGCTGTAATCCCTGTAAAGCAGGGAAGCAGGTGTCTGACAATGAAGTCCAAAATATCAAGTGACAGCTGACTTTGGCTTTCAGTCTGCTTTGTCTGTTCCTGGTGCAGCTCTCCTACTCTGGCACACGGCCTTCTTACACTTCACAAAGTCTCATCCATAATAACATTTGTCTCTTCTATAAAAGGATGTTCAGATCTCCTAGGAGTTCCTAGGACTCATTAGATGTATTCATTAAGCCTTAGAGAGCCTTTGATGAACTAAATAATAATCCTTTTTGACAGGCAGATAAACCAGGCTGTAGAGCACTGTGGTTCCCAAGCAAGTCACTGCCAAATATTACACACAATTTCACATGCCTTCATTTGATGCATCAACCATCAGGTAACAATTTTTTCATATTTTCCCAAAGTTTAGTATGGAAGTAGAAAGATCCTATTGTGCTGGGTGGTCTGTATCAATTCACTTGCGTTTGATACAAAAATGCTACAAAAATCCCTTTAAACACGAAAGCTTAACACAAGCATGGCCAACAGATTTTGCTTTTGCAACAGCTTTTTTACTTGATACCACAGACAGTGATACACATAATAAAAGGGGATTTTAAATTGACTGCAGTGTTTTCATTGTGGACAACACATCAGCGACATTAAAAAATATTTTTTAATCCCCAAAGGATTTTAAGGAAAGAAAAATAACGTATCTGGCAACATTACTTTTTCTGCTACAAATTATTCTGTAAATAGTCCCAAGTTCCTATGTAGTGTTCAAAGTTAAAATATTCAATTAAATATTGGAAAATCTGATATTTTTTTTGCAAACCCTTTTTTTTTTTTTAATTTAACTTCCATTTTTCTCCAGTAGTCTTTTTTTTTTTTATCCCACTTTCTAGTAATGAGTAACTTAAGCTCGTCTATAAAAAGGAGGAATGGGAAGAAAAGGTTTTAGATGAATTCTGCTTGTTAAATTCATGATCAAGAGAATTTACCCTAATTTGTTTTCTCTGTACAAAGAAAACACTTGTAAAAATACTCTTAATAGGAAATCTTTACCCTGTTCAAATACAAGTTAGATGAAACAAAAGTTTGAGAGAGACAGTAACAATTAGTAAATCTGCATAATCAGTAAAAATAAGAAAAAACCAAAAAATAACATCTTTTATATTCAAGAAAGAAGGTGCCACTAAATGTATTAAAAGTTATTATGAAGTAGAGTAGTAGACTAGACAGCTGTTTGCTTTGATGTTGAATTTTTTTTAAAAAAATCCATTGAAAAGCATTTCTAAATTATCAGTAAGCCACCACAGAAAACAAAAGAATGTCACTGCTATAAAGGGTAAAATAATAACATCATGTCAAATTAAAAAGTTTGAAAATTAAAAGGTAAGCACAGCAATGGCTTAAAACATTTCTCTCACACTTACTCTGATGAAGAAACCTCAGCAGCAGTAGGAAACTGCACTTTCTGCAAACTACTTTACAGATTTTCTCTCTGTTGTAAAATGTTACTTCTAATGGTCATTTGATCACAATTCTATAGTTTATTCAATGTGGACAGTATGTCAAAATCATTTTATTAATATCTTTATATATTCACCTGCAATTAAGTGTTAAAGATTTTAGGCAGATGCTCAAAGATAACATAGAAATGGAAGGGGATCCATAATGTGCCCCTGCCAGAGAGGTCTGCAGCTATTGTGTTGGGAGGCTGTATTAGAAGTGCTGCCAACAGGTTGAGGGAGGTGATTCTTTTCCTGCCTCAGCACTGGGGATGTCACTCCTGCAGCACCAGGTCCACTTCCAGGCACCCAGAGCAGGACATGAAGATATTCAAGAGAGTCCAGCACAGGGCCATGAAGATGGCTAAGTACCAAGAGCATATGAGGAAAAGTTAAAGAGAGCTGAGACTTCTTCCCAAAGAAGGACAGGCTCAGGATGATTTTTTCATTCTATATAAATGCCTGAAAATATACGGCAGAAAATGAGCCGGGCTCTTTCCATTAATGCCTGGTGATAAAATGAGAGCCAATGGGCACAAAATGAAACACAGGATGTTCCATCTGAACATCAGGAAACAGCCTTTTAACTCCAAGGATGGTCAAACACTGAAATTATTTTCCCCAGAGAGGTAATTACATTTTTCAAAAGCCATCCAAATGTGCTCCTGGGCAGCCTGTTCCGAGTGCCCTGCTTGAGCACGAGGGTGAGAAAAGATGACCTTCAGACCTGAGTTCCCATCTCTTCCAGTCTGTGACTCTGTGAATTGATATTACCTCTACTGTGTAAAAAGAGTTTGAATTATTGTTTTAATTGTATGGTGACTACTGAATATAATTCAAAAGAAAAAGCTTAAAAGTTGCATTAAGGTGTACTATTTGATTAGTGTGAAAGTTAAATTTAGAATAGGGCTTTTAAAGCAGAGTTTTTAATATTAAACTCAATATGATCCTAAGGCTCTATTTAGTTTCTGAAGATATTATCTTCAAGTCTAAGTGGAATGAAGATGTCCATGTATAATTAAAGTGTTTCCAGTGACCTTCTAAGTCTTTTTCCTTTGCAAACCACTGAGACCCTTAACAAGATTTCGTGACTCTTGTTAAATCATTATCATA